CCACAGTGGATGCCCTTTGCAGAGACCAAGGACATCCACCTTTGGCAAACAATGCTCTGCTGGAAGCCAAGAGCCTGAGAAAACCATCCCAGCCACAGTGTGTCCTGGCCAAGTGGGGGATCTCCATCAGGTCCTCCCTGCTGCACTGGGGGAAGCCCCACAGCAGCTCCTGCAGGGGTCAGGGGTGGGTGAGAGGTGCCCAGTGCCCTGCCCTGCCTCCCCGTGTTCCTGTAACCACACACTCCCTGCCAAACACCTCCCTTAGACTAAGAAAAACAACCAGACCAAGAAGGAAAATCCCTCTGACAGAGCACAGCGAGTGTTGCCGTCCATGAGCTGGTGCAACGCAGAGATAAGGTGGCATTTCGTGACATCCATAGGTAGTGCTCAGATTGTATCTAGCTAATGGAGGCATTTCTCATGTTAGCACAGCCAGGCAAACACTGCAGGAAGGAAGGAACCCGATCTTTGTGCACGCCGATTCCTGTTTCACTAAATTCATAACCTTAATATCGCATTAACACGGCGTGTGCATTTCTGCTGTAATTGCATTCCAGCTGCCTGAATGCTCCTCTTAATTTAGTCAGGCTACTTTAGCTTTGTTGTGAGTTATAAATCATTCCTCCTCTCAAGAAACAAATTAATTTACAGATCTTACAAGAGATAGGATTACCCAGCAGGATTTCTTTTTTTTTTTAACACATGCAACATATAAACTTTATTAAACGAAAGTAATTTCTTCAGAGAAAACCAACAGGCACTTACACTAATGGCAGAGGGAGACAAACTACAAAGATTTTTGAGCTCCAAGAAGCATAGGAGTCTCCTCACAACTGATTTGAAGGAGCTCTGCTGTGAACAGAGCAGCAAAGCCAGAACACCAGTACTGTCCTGTACCTGTGCAGGTTTTTAAGTATTCACTGATTTTTGCAGGGCACAAATATTACACACACACACATATTAGCATCAGAACATGAAGCAGTGGCTTGTTTGAGGTCAGTCGCTTCTTTCCACCCTGAGCAAGCTTTTTCAGTCAGTTCAAATTTTTGTCATGGGTTTGATTAATTTTTCAAGGAGGGGGTGGTTTTGTTGCTCAGTAGTTTGAGGCTAAAACCTAAAACTTTCCACATTTTGTTACAAAGATCTGTGTTTGGATGACCTACTTGGTTTATTAACCAATCATCATCATCAGTTAAAATGAAACCGATCTTTTCTGCACTACTGGCAAGCAGCCATGCTCTTGTGCAGCCCTCTTCCAGCCATGCTTACCCTGTTTTCAACCAATCCCTTGGTCATCAGTTTACTGAGTTACACAGTTGTGTTTTGAAAGGTGCACTTTTGCTTATCAGAGTGCTGTTCATAATTACAATAATTGGATACTGTGTCAAGAGATGGTGCTGAAGAGCAGCAACATGGCCCTGTAGCATCCAGAATATTCCTAAAGAGTTGCCACTGCTGTCACTAGCTGCTGTTTACACAAACTTTCAGTGACCTGCACTTCTGGAGATATTGCGCTGCTTCCAGTCAGCTACATAATAAACTTTGGTATGTCTATAAAAAACATCTTAACGTTCTTAAATAAACATTAAAACTTCATTTTGTGCAATAATAATATGCCTCCATAACATTTTTTTTAGCTATCTTCTTTAATGCCTTCTTTGGAAGCTGTCTATAACGTAGTTTCAGTATGTGGAGTCTGCTCTTTTGGAGTACTCTGGACACTCTGACACTGCCATTTATGAGGACAAAACACCTTTCAGCTGCAGTCCCAGTGATCTTTCTGCCCTGCTGCGCAAGCTCTGCTCACGGCATTGACAGCGAGGGAGACTGCTGGAGATGAGCTGGTGAAATAAAGTTTATTTTGAATAGGGTGATGTCATGGGTTCAAGTTCGGTGATGCTGACCCCAGGCCATGGATTTAAGATGAAAATACCACAACTGTTCCCAGCCGGTAGCTTAACAAAAATACATCAGTCTTGAAGGGCATGGGAACCTGCTCTTGGAGAGTGCATACTCTGAGAGAGCTCTGAGAACTGTAACTTCGTCTCTTCCCTCTTTATATGTCCAAGAGCCAGATCACAGAAAAAAAACAATTCTCCTACTTCCAGAAGAGTTAAATTTTATATTGCTTTGGGAATTTAACATCAAGATTTTAAAGAGGTGCTGCAACTTAACTAAAACCAACACATTTGATGCTGAACAATCAGGTGCAATATGTTTGCCTGTGTTGTACTGAACAATCAGTTGTTCAGTGTTGTACTGAAAAATCAGATTTTTCCTTCAGGTTCTTTTCTATAAAATCTATAACTTGCAGTCTTATGTGAGAGAAAAATTAAATTGTACCTGTAGAAGAGTGAAGGATGCACATCGCATACAAATCTTGCTGAACCTGCCATGGGGTTCCCATAGCTGCTGTGTAAATCTCTGTGCCTCTTTCATCTCTCACGTAAATTGTAACACTTCCAGCTTGGATAACCCCTTCATACAGACACCAATGCCCATAAGAATAGAATATTGAGCTTGGCTGGTGTCTCTAGACCTGGCTTGATTCCACCTAAATCTGGGCACCCAAAACACGAAATGTCCATAAAGCACTGTTGGCATCTCCAAGGCAGAGCTGAACTGCTCACTCCAAGGACTGCAGCGAGAGCTCAGGAGGATGAGACTCCAACACCTTCAATGCTGTTTGTCTGATGAATGTAAGTTTAGGTGTAGCTCCAAGTTGAAAATTAATGCTATGACATCACACCTCATCAGATTACCATCAGGTCTAACACTTAAGCTGCCAAGAGATTTTATAGGCCGTGTTTTGGTGAAAGACTAAGACAGTCCCAGGATCCTTCACTTTGCATTTTTAGGAATCTCTTTCTACTTGCTCAAATTTTTTCATGATTGATCACGTAGCTTGTGCAGCTTCTCTCTGTCAAACTCCCTGAATTGATTGAAATAGATATTTACAAGACAGATCTGTATAATGCGATGAAACATCCCACAACACATACAGTGTGAGTGAATGGTGCTGACAGGAACTGATATGCTTGTCCCAGACATCACATCATATAGAACTGAGTATGTGCGATTTAGGAAAGGTCAAAAATCTTAAAATAGCTGATGTCCAAAAGCTCATCCTCTCCCTCAAACCCTAGCACAGATAATGTCACCACTCAATTACTGCCGCACTAATTTTTTCTTTTTCGAACACACCATGACATTCTCATGCCAGATAATTTTTGATGTCTTGTAACCAAACCTTGGGGGGAGGCTGGATGTCACACATTTTTATTTGGACACTTGGATTTAATGCGAGTGACAGCTGGATTTTTCTTCTCCAGCTTATTCCAATGTTAAAAAGATACATGTTAAAGTCTCATCCGTGCACCCTCTTCTCAGAGGTACCAGATGATCCGGCATATGCGATTCATTAACGGAACATTTGTTTCCCCGGGAGCAATACGTGTGTCACTTGTGCTCTGAAGCGATGCACCTTGCTTAAAGAATCTGCACCTACTTCTATCTGATCTGCAGGTCAGACAAGAAGTAGGGGTGGTGTATCTGGCCCCCATCCTGTGCATAGCAGGGTTTGGGAGGGCCAGCACCAGCTTAGGACTTTGCAAAGCCAGGCTTCGAGTATCTCTTCCATGCTCAGAGCATGGACTGCATCGCAGTGCCAGTTTGTGACGCAGAGCCCTTCTGCAAGTCAGCTGTGCCTCCTCTTTGCTCAGGTAGCCACTCCACAGGGATGAGCATAGGAATTTAGGATGAGGAAGAAGTAGACACCAGGTGTGCACAACCACCAGCATGCCAGAGGAGCCCCCCACATCCAGTGGGGTCACAAGGAGAGAAATGACCACCTTGCATTAGCTACTGCCTGTAGACTCACACCGCTCCACAAGATGGTTCTAAGTTTTGAAGCCCAGCCAAAGTCTGAGTCAATACACACCTCTATGTACTTTCAGACGAAACCTACATTATGTTACCACTGATGGTACCACTAGTTATACAGAGTAAAATAAAATCCCGCCTCAAAGGGAGAATTCTACATTGGAGGGGACTGAGTAACCAAGTCAAAATTAAAATTAATACAAACCTGAAAATTATACCATATTTAGAAATATAACATCTTACACTGCCACAAGCATGATCTTTTTCCTGTAGTAGTGACAGTATGTGATAATCACCTAACTAAAACATTTTTGTGTTTGCACTACAAACTTGAGGGCATCCAGACATCAATAACCAAATGTAGTTGTTTCCCCCTTGATTCTGCTGCAATGAAGAATTAACATTCTTCAGACACACCCTGTTGATGCTGGTGGGTTTAAGCAGCACAAAACCTTCAGTGAACTGTTCATGCAATAATCGCCTACAAGGAGATTCAAGGGGTAAACCATTTCCTTTCACATTCCCTCAAAAATGCAACCCTTAAAAAAGATATCTACAAGTTCTCAGAAGACATTGTCAAGGATACGCTATTTCTTAACACATAATCAAGACCTCATCCTTACTTTAACTCAGATTCATAAGGTGAAATAACTGCCATTCCTCAAGTCTGGACAGCCATAGCATTTTCTGCCCCAGACAAACAGGCAACAGCTAGTGGTTATCTAATTTAGTGAGATTATTGCCCAATCAAAGCAATATTGTAGATTAACATTTGAACCAAGTGCCCTTTTGCTTTTTGGCACAGAAAAGCCCATAAGCTCTCCTGATGTTTTCCAGTGCGTGCTCTATCATTTAATTCATTGCTCATTTGGAATGGGTGAAGCAATCCCACCACAGCTCAGCAATGAGAAAAAGACCTGCAAGTTGGGTTGAAAACACCCCAGATTGGCAAATGTGGTTTCTACTTCTCACACAGAAATCTCACTAGAAATGATCTTGTACTTCTTACAGCAAAACTCAGCCATTAAAATAATCATTTGGTCAGTAAAATCAAATAACATAATTTTGAGCAATTAGAAATTCTAGCTTAAAAAAATAAACAAACCAAGAACCAACTCTTCAGCTGCTGAAAACTTTATTCTTTTGTTACTTCATACACCTGAGCTATGAAGGCTTGTACAAAAAAATAAAAAAAATAAAATCCCAGTATGGTTTTACTGATGTTAAAACTGCAGCCTCATATTTTTTAATCATTTACTGGAAACATGAAGAGGGGGAGGAAAAGTGCCAATGAATCTACTGAATCTACTTAACCTTTTGGAGATGACACCATTATTGTTGCAATGAGGATTGGCTAAAATGTTTCCTTTTTTTTTTTTTAAGAAATGCCAATTTTATTCAAATCTTTCTGCAGAAATATGTCCCGTTTCAAGGGGAAATTCACTGAGAAGTAAACTTCAGTTTAAATCCTCCTGCTGTCTCATCCAGAAAAAATACCCTCCACCTAGTGGGAATGCACCAAACAACACGTCATTGAGAGAGAAAAAAAAGGTATTACAAAAAAACCAGATTCAAACTTCCCGTACTAGAAAAATTCGAAACAAAATACTTTTAGCAACCCCAGCTGCACCAGGGAGTGCAGCAATATGAAGAGATGAACACCTGGGTGGAATGTCAGGAGCAAATCCTCCAGTGGAGGAATGAAGTCCCTCAGCACATGGAAGGTGTATGTGCGTAACACAGGTTGCAGAACTAGACCCCGTGAGAAGCTTTTGCAAGGTGCTATCTGAGGGTACCCAGCACTGCAGGGTGGGAACCACAAAGCCCTCTGATAGCATCTTGCAGATTTGGTTCCCTAATGCAATATAAAACATATTTGCCCCAGTTAGTGACCTGAGAGCATGCTTTGGCTTAGTTTTTTTCCCCAAGCATTTGCTGTTAAGTTAATTAAGCATTTAAAAAGAACAGTCTCTCACTGCCCAGAGACTCCATATAAATACTACTCTCTCTTCTTCTAAGGGCCAGATTTTCTGCAAGGGTAAATCAATACAGTTTCACTGATTGAGGGTCTGGCCTCAAAAGTCTATCCAGTGCATTAAAACCAGCGCAGCATGACATATGCCTCGGCAGTAGAACAATTCTCCAGATTAATATTTGAGGGAAATTTGGCAGTTAAAAAAAAAAAAAAAAAGCTCTATTTTGAAGTGCTGCCATTTCTTTAATCGGTGCTGACCACCACAGTCTCTCCTCTTGTGAACTGTACAGTTACGGCCGGAGCTTCACTGTCGTTCTCCTCCAGCTTCAGTGCAGCGTTGTCCAAGCCGGTGCTGCCGGGCTGTGGCAAGGCGGTGGGTTCTGCTGTCCGAGTTGGAGTGGAGCAATACAAGGTGAAGCCCACCATGATGATAATGAAGGACAGGATATAAAGACCTGAAAACTGGCAGAGGAAAGAAAGAGATGCATTAAGTCTTCTCTGATGTAAAAACATGTCAGTACTGCCTTGCTTTAAGAATGTGAAAGCTACCCTCCCTTTTTAAAATTATTTTAATTCCGTATTCAGGTTTGAAAATCAAAATTCAACATCTCCATTCACTGACAGACCCAAGGTATTGGCTGGTTTTCTCAACACTGTTGAGCAGGCAGTCTCCTTAGGTCTCCATACAAGAATCTTAACAGAGAGAACAAATAGCTGTAAATATGGCGATACTGAAGGATCGTTGTTTACATGCTGTACCCCTAAGAGAATTTTATTTCAGCACAGCCAAGTATTTCAGGTCCTGGCAAGAGATGAATCTCTCCATCCTACTGCAAGTCATCAGAGCAGCTGGTTCTCTGCATAACCATCTGCAGGGCTCCATAAATGTTATTACTGGACTAAAACCAGTTTGCTCTCTGCACCCAGCAAGTCCTTGAAGAGAGGGAGACTGGGGCCCCTTTTACAACACTGGCATTTGTGCTCTGTTAAGAGTGGCATGAGGCAAGAGTATGAACTGCTGAGGTACATCAGGCATTTCATTCACTGTAGTTCACTTGCCTGTTAGAAGTCCAACAATTGCTGAAATTCATCCCCCTTGACAGAAAAATAAATGCCTACTTCATGACACCAGACTCAATAATACAAAGTGTTCAAGTTACCCCCAGCCAGGAACACTTTCTCAGATTTTTTGAAGTCCTTCATATTGCTTTTGCCAAACCACATTGATTAAACAGTAGCACATCCTACATCCCACTGTCGACATAGCAGGCTGAGAGAGCTGGGGTTGTTCAGCCTGGAGAAGAGAAGGCTCCAGGGCGACCTCATCGCAGCCTTCCAGTATCTGAAGGGAGCCTACAGGAGAGCCAGAGAGGGACTCTTTGTCAGGAAGTGTAATGAAGGGACAAGGGGAAATGGTTTTAAATTGGAAGAGGGGAGATTTAGATTATATACTAGAAAGAAATTCTTTACGGTGAGGGTGGTGAGGCACTGGAACAGGTTGCCCAGGGAAGTTGTGGATTCCCCATCCCTGGAAGTGTTCAAGACCAGGCTGGATGGGGCTTTGAGCAACCTGGTCTAGTGGAGGTGTCCCTGCCCATGGCAGGGGGTTTGGAATTAGGTGACCTTCCAACCCAAACCATTCTATGATTCTATGACATTTCCTAATCCCCCTAGCTTCCTTAGACGTGCTTGAAAAATAAGTTTTATTTTATGAAGCAGCAGAGCTGGATTAAATGAATGATAGCACCTGGGCAGTGGACTCTGATCCAGAAGAGACCGAGGCACCTACAATTAAGGCATTGCAATTCCTAGCACGTAGTCACTTGGCTGGGAAACCCTTGGACGGCACCATGCAAAAGGAAAAGCAGACAGAAGCACAGTGGCCTGGCGATACGTGCCCTCTCCTCACCTTGTTGGCCGTTTGCCCAGAGGAGCTTGCACTCAAGTGTTCGCTCTGCGGAAGAGGAAGCACCAAGCTCTGAAGATGTCCTAGTGGAGGCAGTAGCTGTGTCCATGGCCCTACCCATGACTGACTCGTTCCCATCAAACAGGTAGAGCTTGGGTCTGTATCAAGGCACCTGCACGACTTCTCCGGAGTGCAGCCTAAGGCCTTGAGTGGACACGTGCCTTCATGCGAGGACACCGGGCTGGCAGGTGAGACTGGGTGGCCACGATAACTGCCAGAGCCCCTCTCGTGGTGTATGCAAGGCAGTAGGTGTCTGATCCTGCTCAGAACTAATTCCTCTACAAATGGACATGCACTCACCAAGCCAAGGTGCCAGAGCTGTTGTAGCGTAGCTGTGACCCAGGGCCTGCCTATGTGTTTGGTGCTATTGACACCAATGAACCTTAACAATGCTGCTCCAACAGGCCTACATGCCTTTTTTTTTTTCTCTTCTTTCTTTCATTTTTGGGTAGGGCTCAGTGGCCTTTTTCCTGGGTTTTTTTCTTATTTTTTTTTCATTTCAAATATTGCAGCAACTTCATTGCTTCCAACCCTGAGTTCAGTTGTGCCTGTGCAGCTTATATCCCCACACTCACTATCAAGCCTAAAGACTACTTGAAATGTTACTGGAGGACTGTAACTCCATCTAGTGTCTGTATCCGCAGTATATTCCCTTCCATAGGAGTTTACACAACAGAAGCATTTGGAGACCTTTTTTAATATCTCTTGAGGGATTACTGCTACTATATAATGAGCTTATTAGAAACAAGCGAAGCAAAGATTCATTATGGGGTTAAAAAAAAAAAAAAAGCTCATCAAAACAGGTATCCCAAATTCACATTTACCTTAAATAGACCCGGTGGGGGCTGAAAAGTTGAGTGTATTAGCAAAACACTGTGCTCAAGTAAAAAAACTCAGAAATTCACAGAATCACAGAATGATGGGTGTTGGAAGGGACCTCTGGAGATCATCTAGTCCAACCCCCCTGCCAGAGCAGGTCCACCTAGAACAGGTTGCACAGGATGGTGTCCAGGCAGGTTTTAAATGCCTCCAGAGATGGAGACTCCACCACCTGGGCCTGATCTCCACTGTAGCTGCTGGATGTTTGTGAGGCTTCTGCTTCAGAGCAGGCTCAGACCACAGCAACTCAGAGCTGCCCGTGGCTCGCGCCACTCTGCAGCACAGCCCAACCTTCAGGGGCTTGATGTGAAATATCATCTGGTAATGGGAAACACAGAGTGAATCCCTGCATTTTCTTGTGTAGATTCCTGTGTCTGGGGTGCTTTCTAATCCAGGAAATGTCCTGCCTGGTTTCTTTGCCCAGTAGGTAAAGAAACCATGTGGTTAACCTGGCAGTAAGATTTCCTACTGCTATGTGTTATATTAAAAGCCATGTCAAAAACATGCTCTCTCAGTTCTTGGTTGGTTCCTAAGCTATCTCAGATCCTCTGATTACTAAAGATGTGGAATTATTATTGCTCCCCTTTTAGCCGCTTCATTGTTTCTAACCACAGAAACCAGAGGTGGAAGTTCCTATTCTAGTAAGTATCTGAAATTCTCTCATAATACAACCCCCAAATCTTCTCTAATTCATTTTTCCTTTTTGCTATCAGAATACCCCGCAGTGAGTAATGATCTGCTCCCAGAAAAACCTCTCCCCAAAATAAGCCAAAAATCCTGAAGAGTAAAAATTTATTATATGCCTTCCAAAGCTCTTGCTTACTTCCTCCTCTTTACTATTATGAATATAAATTTATAATCACTTCTGGAGTTAAGCTATCTGGGTGCCAAAACACATGTTTGAAAGTGACTCAGAAAGGATTTTTTTAATTGTTAGAATGTAAGTATGGTTTGCTTCCTACATTCATTTTTAATAGATGCTTTGTCACTCAGAGCAAATTTTGGAACCCAAAACAGGGAGGAAAGCTGAGCTAAAAGTCTCTTGAAAAGGAACATCTAGCTGTAGTCAGATCCTGCCATTACCAGACCTCCACATTGTAAAATAAATTGGCTCTCATTTTCAGAAACAAATCTGACCTAAAAGCTTCTGGCTCTCGATAACGTTGAAGAGAAAGCAACCACATGGAATAATACAAATTAAGTTCTTAGGCAAAGTTCACAAGCTTCTCACTAAACCCGAGCGACTGACTCAATTACTCCAATTGCTGTAATGAGCTAGTTTCCCACAAATTATTCTGGGTGAAAAGTGTAGGGTGGAATAAAATCTTTTGAGCACTGTCATTTAGGTTGAATAGACACTACCAAAACTATTTTAGACAGCAATGAAAGCAACTGCCTTTCGGAGGCCATACAAAATAATGTATTTATTGGCATTTTTTTTTTCCGTTCCTTCAGTCTCTCCTCAGCAGTAGCACTGAGAGAGTTTGATTCGTCTCCCAAGACATAATGAACAGATTAAATACCTTAAATAAAATATTAATTTCTGGAAATCAAGCTCAACTGCTCCTCTCAGACATCCAAAGTCTCTCAGGACAGGGAGATTGAAACCCTCTCTTTGGACACATGGAGAGATGAACCAAATCTAACATAGAGTTCCCACGCAGGGGTTCCAGCAAGGACTCTGCCTTGGGAAATTATTTACTATCTCCTAACATTAACTCTAACATATTCCATCAAGCGTGAAATTGTTTGAAAATCACTATCTGCCTAACGGTGCGACGCTATGTAATTAACTGAGTATGAGTCCTTCTGATTGACATCTGCCAACGATGAACGATACGAGCTGCGGAAATGTACAAGTGGAAACGATTGTTATGGGGCTTTTAAGAACATTATGCTTTATTTACAATTTTGGAGTAAAAAATTAACTGAAATTATAGTGAAAGAACGAAAGTACTTACCTTATAGTAAAAAAGGAAAAGCCCAAAGAACAGACTGTAGAGATCCGCAGTCAGAATACCCAGGTTGACCGAGGTTGCGCTGGTAACTTTAATCACTACTGGCATGAAGCTATACAGCCCAAACATACACAGGGCAAAGGCTGTAAACAGCAGTGCTGCAAAACAAGATGACAATTTACTCCTAAGGCACGGAATAATGATTTTAAAGAACACCAGTATTCTTCAGATGCTTTAAAACTATGCATTTTTATCTTTAAGTATAAGGTCTCCTAAAAGATACGGGAATGTCAATTTAAGAAAAACATGGCAAAAATACTTCTTTTTCAAGCCTAGCCTGTATTGCAAATATTACTGTATCTAAACAAGAACGTTCTTGTTCATTCCTAGTTAACATAAGAGCTGACTGAAGAAATTGAGCCACATTTCTTAATAAAGTACAGTTCTGCTGAGATTAAAATGTGGCACAAAATCCATTTTCCCACTATTTCATTTAGGAAGGACAACAGAAAAATGTACTTGTGGTGTTCCATGTCTCTGATTACACAGGTTTAATTTTCACTTTTTGCAATTTATTTTGAAGAATTGTTTCATGCTATGTGAAAAATGCAAAACCTGAGATGAAAGATTTTAATGTTCAATTCTGCAAACCTTACCTCTTAGCTGAGCTGCAAAGTTTCAGAAAGTAAATTTGTGACAACATGAACATTGCTTAATATCCGGAGAAAGAATATTAAATTCCCCACATTTGAAGTCTAAATGATTATCATTTTCCAGTGTTCTGTAAAAATGCACATCATTTTGTCATACACATACCAATTTTCCAGTTCCATTGAATTCTCATTATCTCCCTATGTTCCACAATGGCTCTAGAGTTAGAGAAAAGATATAATATAGTAAAAATAAAAAAAAAAGCATAGCATATTCAACTAGAGAATTCAATTATCAGAATATAAGAAACATTTTGATTTATAACCCCTTAATTTTTTGTTTGAAATTTCATTGAATGACACTAACTCCAACATCTAACAAGCAGGAAAAAAGACTTGAAAAATGAAGTGCCTGAAAGTCAAGAGCACTTTTAGTTAATTCTTATGCCTTCTTCCCAGGCTTTTTCATCCTTCAGAGATTCAGCTTTATTTGACAGACCATTTGAAGAAATTATTAACTATAATGATGAGTAATGAGGAGCATAAAATTCATTAGATAGACTTAAGCGCATGTGGTCTGTTACTCTAACGTGGTTATTTATAAGAGTATATACATGGATTCATTTAAAACTGGTGTTTAATATGGAGGACCTCCTCCTAACGAATATCTCCTAAACTTTTCTACAGAGAAAAATCCATGTAGAAATACATTCCTGTGAACACTCCTCAGCATACTGACTGTCCTCATGAAGATCTATAAAATCAAAAGCCAAGTACCATTTGAGTTCTATGGCAGGATTTCAGCTTTAAATTTGCTGTAGTAAGAGTAGTGCAAATAAAAAGGATATAGAAGGGATGCTAATCAGCAACAAAAGTAAAATTCTAATTGAAGGACTCCCATATAGGCCAAATGCAGATGTAACAAAGAATTAATTTAATAACAACATCATTTCATGGTAGACAAGCAATCATCTGTAGAATATTCTTAATTAGTTTTAAAATAAATATTAGATCCTTACAGCTGTAGACCGCTGATAATAGTCCCAAACAAGCCCACCATTCCTAGAAACTCCACTCTGCTCAGATTTTTCACAATGTATTCCTCACTCACATTAGAAATGGCATACAAAGAAGCACCAAGAAGCACTAAGACATCTCCAATCACCACGTCACTACCTGTACAGAAATATTAATCCACAATAAGGGTGATGCTGCAAACACTTTTTAACTTTCCTTAAAAAAGACAAGCAAATTTATCTCTAACATCTCTAGCTTCCTAGCACCTTCCAGGGTAAGGGGAAAGGAAACACCTCTTGTGTGTGCAGATGAGTGGCTGAGTATGGACTCTGCTCACCTCACCTGGCACTGAAATCTCCTCCTGACCAAGCCACTGCTGTGTAGCCTGGTCCAATTCTACTTCTGCTGACCTGAGGCACTGTAGGGACGTAAGAAAATTCCCGGTTAGAGATGCTCTCCGCCTTTCTGAACATCGCCCCTGCTTTTGCAGTCAGGCCTGATTCAAGTCTTGCTGAAATCAGCCTATTGATTTCAGCAGGACCTGGACCCAGCTTTGAGTTTATGACAGGTCTGAAGTGGGCACTGCAGATGGGTGGTATCATGTGTCCTGCTGAGATGTATTTATACTGTGCAAATGGGACTCCCTGTGATACAATCACTCATCAAGTAAATGCCATTACGCATCAGCTAAATAGCAAGAGGATCGCTGTTGTTTAAATCCTTGAATTGATTTTAAATTGCCTTCCCTGAGCCAGCTGGCAATCACTAAGAAAATATGTCTGAAATATGAAGGTAAGCAGTAGTAAGGATACAGGTCAGTAAGTGAACCACAGCTGTCCTGAAGTCTCAGGGAAAGCAGATTTTTATCTCTTAGGGCTGAGATACTCATACCATGCAGCATTAAAGCTAAACCTCAGTTGGCCAAAATAACACCAAACAGGCTTACTTCTGTGCTGCCTGATGAAGGCAATGCCCTGAAATTTACCTTGACTCACACCCACTGGCTCTGAAAACTAAAAATTCGTATGCAAAATAAGATCACTACAACATGGATTGATGTAGGCATCTGTCATAGAGAGGAGACCTGCCCTCATCTGCGCCCGGCTGGATCCTGGTCCCCAGAGACCAGCCTCCCTCCCAGAGCTCCCAGGAATCCCAGCATCCTGCCCACGTCTCCTCCTGCTCTCCCGTTGTAAGCCCCTGCTTTGCAGTCTGTGGGCCTCGGGGACACGTGGACCATTCCTGCTGGGTCTGTCAAAGATAACTGGGAGAAGTCAGCCTGCTCTTAAGTAACTTGTCGTTTGCTCTTTGTGCTCCTAGAAAACTGCAAATCAGAGAAGCCTGGCTGCCAGCAGGCTGATGCTGTGTAAGGGAGAGAAGGTTTGCAGGGAGAGGCAGCGCCTGTTATTAGACCATCTCACATGACTAGGATAAGTGAAAAAGTTTTCACCAATGAGGCCTTTAATCAGCTCTGATGAACAGCAGCAAAATTTAAGCTTAACACATGTGTTGCTCTTTTAAGGTGGAAGGAACAATCCAAATCTACAAGCAAACACATTTCACAGCTCCCTATAATATCAGCATCTCCTCAGCCACTATCTTCTTGGACAAGAAATACAAACAGCAGCATGTCTTCTCCTCTCCTGCCTTAAAATAAATCTATATCCACTCCCCCTGCATTTGCTCCTCTCTCTCCTCTGGAAGTTAGCCCACCACGGGAACTGTCTCTCCACTCTTCCCCCCACAACAACGGGCTCCTTACCTTCGCTGTCCGGCCTCCCTGCCAAAATGTCTGCACCCACCATTGTTCCTACACCCAGCAAACAGACGGCCACAGCAAGAAAATGGATCAGCCGGTATCTTGCACGGAGAACGAACCACGACAAAGCCATCAGCACCGGAATCCCGAAGCAGTCCAGCAGCTGTGTGCACAGAGAAATGCTGTGAATTAGAAACCCCTCCCAAATCTGGGTTGCACTATCCTGAAAGCAAGTGATTACACTTTCTGTTGCTCCCAGCTGTTAATGAAAGCCACAAAACAACCCCAGTGGATTCATTTAAAAGAGGGGTCAGACCCACGTTAAGGAGGAGGGGTGGGGGGGATCTACTCCCTCCTGGCAGAAAGGTACCAAGAAAAATGCATGTCCTAATGATGGACCTAATCAATCTCTGCAGCTTTACAAATGAATGCTAGGATGTTGCTCTGAAACCGTGTTGCTCCCCGAGACATCACTACAAGGAGGGGGTTCACTGACATTTCCTTTTCTCCCCAGCAGGTTTTGTCTAGCTCGGCTTTTCACTCCTTCTCAAATCTCTAATTAGAATTTAGGGCTCCATGTACACACAATAAAAATCTGAAAAGATTGAAGGATACAAGTGATCTGATTTTATATGCAAGTGACTACGACAAGAATCTGACTCTGCAGTTTTGGTTTTGAATTTTTTTTCCCCCAATCAGATCCAATTAAAAATAAAAAGAAAAGAAAAGGTACATGTGTGCTGTTAGCCATATGCAATGTGCAAAATTGGTAGAAGGAAGATAGGAAGGGAAGAACATCTTTCCTAAAGTCAGCTTCCTAATCTTTCAGCTTCCTACAAAAGCACCTACAAGCCACCAATGCGTTCTCGTTACTCTGTTGGACCTGACACTCAATTAGCCAGAAGCAGGTAACCCACTCTAATTCACCCATGTCCCAGCAGCAGCCACACACAGCAGCTGGAGTTTCAAAGCACTTTAGACGTGTTTGCAGACATGGCCCTGAGCAGACTTAATAGCTAAGCTTCAAGGATGTCTCCACTCCATGACAAGCAGTGACACTGACTTGTCTTTCCTTTCTCCATTCCTTCTCTTTCCTTTCTCCATTATCCCCTCTCTGTATGTTCCTAAAATCCTGCACATCTTTGCGTTGCTGTTAGACCCACCCGTCTTCTACCCATTCTCCATTATTACAGAAAATGTCAAGAATTAGCTGTGTACTTAATACAGAAAAATACACTGCAGCATAAGATGGGCATAATGTTCTAGAATAACCAAATAATACCAAGAACATTGAGCTTATAATAATTGATTTCATATTTAATTCAACAAAATAAGCTGTTTCTGAATTTGTTCAAAAAAAAAAAAAAAAAAAAGATGTATTTTCTGACCTGCCTCCATACAGTGCCATGAGGGGACATATAAGGGAACAGTCTATAGCAGAACATATAGACTGCCTTCCAAAGACTGCTCACAAATTACTCTCAAATGTCAGCCCTTAAAATTTGGCCTCTTGAAGTCACTATGACATTTTAGGCGCAGGTCAATAGGACTGGGGCATAATCATTACAGTCAAGACAAGAGCCCTTAGTCCTTAATGGTCATTGCCCACGTCCGCCTGCCTAAGTGCACCGCTGCAGTCATCTTCAGTGCTGGCTTCTGTTAGTTCAGCCACGGTCCCCAAGGGTTTTAACCAAACTTGTAAGACTTTCATGGTATGTCTGGTTTTACTTGTTCATAACTACACATATTAAAGTCTTACAAGCATAGCACTGAGGGGAGTTAAATCCTAACAGTCCTCTAATGCTTCCTCATCTATTTGTCTTCGCTCCTTTGATTGCTTCCAGCTTGTCCAGTTTGTAAAGTCTGTTTGTAAAGTGCAAAAGCACTTGCCTAGACTGTATTATGAGACGTTACAACCACCCAAGCCCTAATATGTGATATGACGTATTTCAATACAACTTTGCTCTACTAAAAGATATCACACTGTGAGTTTCTACCTAGTCACAGGCCTTTTTCCTCTATCTTACCCTTAGTCTAGGCTCAAGAAAAGCCTTCTAACGTTTCCTCCAAATTTGACTGTTTTGACTAGTATCAAGCAATAAGAAATATTACAAACATTAGGAAGCAAAAATTTTAACCCCTGGGAGTAGACATCTCTTCTACTAAAAGTAAGATTTCACTTCTTCATTAATTGAGATGTTACAATGTAACTTTCTAACCTCCAAGCAGCTTTTCAACCCAAACAGAAAGAAGAAAAACCACTTAAAAAATAAAAAATCTTAATTGGGATGTCAGGGAGTAGTACATAATGAGCCAGAAGTTCTTTCAGTAACGCTGGATGGGGAATTGCTGCATCCAGACCAATAACACACTGTAGAGCTACAGCAACTTGGTTAGAAGACTTGTAGCCAGGACATACAGGCACCAAATGATGAAGAACATGTCCTGGTAATCTATTCCAGGGGACAATTATCCTCAATTACAGACAGCAGAAATCTGATTTCCAACTACTGGATCTTGCCTTTCCTTCATCTACTAGGATACAGAGCTCTTTGGTGGAAAATGCTCTCGTCTGTACAGGATCAAGATCAAAGAGGTGGAAAGCAGATGTAACATCACAATGAATTGTGTCAATGGAACCATTTAAAAGATTTTTTTTTTTTTAAATTCAGGTTTTATGACATTTACACCAGTACTGCAGTACTGATTACTATTGCCGGTAGAGCATCAGCAAACTCCCATCTTATTCAATTCCTGCCTGTATTTTTACAAGGGAAAAAAACCATAACCTGTTGATTTGATTTACAAATGTTTTCACTCAAGCCAGGCTTTGGCCACACTGTTCATAGGAGGTTTTAAAGGTAGGGTGAGTAAATTATTAAAAGATGTTTCAATATATGGTTAATAAATTATCATAGATTGTTGGAGGTCATTGGGTTGCTTATAATTGCCAGTTCCAGACAGCTTTGTGAGCAAGAAAGCTCAACAGCTGATCCTGCTCACTTCCCCACACAGCTCCCTTCGGGCAGCTTCCAGCTGAGCCCCTGAGGCTCATCCTGCATTTTCTCCCATTGAGGTTAACACTCTTCCATCAGCTGGTGTTCCATCAATTGCTGCCCTATAAAATGCCTCCACTTGAATTATCTACAGAGCAAATGCTAATTGTGGCCAATAACATCTTAACAACATGAAACCACAGCTACACTGCTTATTTTTTCGTTATGAAATATGTGGTGAAACAGCAGCACAGTCAAGTCCTGCCACAAGACAGAGAGTCACTTGCAGCAGAAAGTCTCACTGGCACTGCCAAAGCCACAGTTGAACAGAAAGAGTCACAACTGCAGACCAAAGTCTTTTTCTTTATTTAGAGAGAAATGAGAGCTGCTATCCCCACGTTATCTCCTTAAAAAACTCCCAAACCCTTCCGTGCAACGCTAGGATTTGACAACTAAAGGAAAATCAATTTTGCTTTTATGTGCACGTGTGAGACAATACATGGAAGCTCCTTGCTGAGCTGAGAAAACTTATCTTTGAAGATCAGTTTCATAGGGCTGAGCTGAAGGTCCAGCCAGCCAGCATTTGAACAGCAATTACCCTGAATTGGGAAGGTGCCATGTGCTCCTGCGATGCTTTTATCCTCCCCGGGCACCCACTCACAGCCGGTACTGCAGAAGGCCACGGGTCTTGGGCCTCTGAACCACAGGTTCTGATGCAGCTGCAAAACTGTTTGCTACTGACAGATAGAAAGCACCTTGCACTAGAGCAAATAACAGGCTTTTTTCTGTCCTGCATCTTATTTCTGACAGTGGTGAGAAACTGGTGACCTCACCAGAATGTGCAAGAAATCTTACTGCAACAGGCAGTTTCAACAAATTTGTAATTACTGAACTCATCAGTCTGAAGGCTACCACATGGGAAGGAAGTTCAGCAAATGCTTGAGCTTGGCAACCAGACAGGACACCCTACTCTATCTATTATTTCTTAATTTCTATGAAAGAAATCGTGGGAATAGCTTTATTACTTCTGAGAACTTGGATCAAAGTCCTGGCATTTTCAGTTGTAAAGTATCTGATCAAAGTGTCTCGACTATAAGCTTAACTTGATCTCAAGACTGAAATGTGTCATTCTTAAAGCTTTGATTTCTGAGGCATTATTTATAAGGAAATTAAAGGCTTAATGAGTCATAACAGATAAGTATGAAGTGGAAACATGACAATAATAATCCATCAGGCACATGTTACTGATAGTGCAAAGAAAAGTTACTGAAGTTCTCTAAAGAGAGCCCAGACCACAGGGGTTTATTGCTCTACAGGTAATTCTTTAAATATTAACCCTGGTCACTCTGACTTTGTAAAACACTGATACCTCAACACTCCTTTCCAACTAACAATGAATTCTGTATGGTACCTTACTTTTTTTATTCGGGTAAGCGGGACCATGACCCCAAGCACAGATCCACCACTAGTAAGAGTACAGGCTGGAACAGCCCTGGACACGCTCCCTCCTTGCTTCTGCACCATCCCCTGCCGTGTCCCAGCAGCAGCAGCAGCTGTGGAGGCCCACAGGGAGCTGCCTTGGGGGCCTGACACAGCTCACCAATAGTCCAGCAAAAGACAGGGTTTACTCTGACTTAGCTCAGTGCCCTGAGCCAGGTTGCTCAAGAGATTTGGCCGTGCAAGCTCAGGAGCACTCAGTTGGAGGTAGGAGAAGGTACTAACTCTTCCAGCAGTTTAAGCCCATGCAGGGTGACAGAGCAACCCCAGCTTCAGCCCTCCTGCTCGAAGAGCTATTTCGGAACACAAGATTTATCCCAGTGCAGCGACGAGCATCAAGTACTGTCGTTGCAGAGGATGTTTATTGCTACTTGAGGAGCCTGGCACACTGACTTCCCTTCCATCTCTTCCAGAGAGGGGCCTGAATAAGTGTCATGTCTAAAAGCCACAGGCTTGACCCGTCGCTGCAACACCAGCTCACTATCAGTATGTCCTCACGTGGGGTTACGTCTCACAACACCTCCCACAGCTCGTAGGACTAGGCAAGAGATCTACATCACTCTCATCAGCAAGAACCTGCCCCGAGTGAGTGTTATCTGGTACTAAATCTTTATTTTCTCTCAGGAGAAAAACTGGAGTGGCTGTCAGCAAACTCTCAGAAGTGCTTTCTATCAAAATAATTGGAGTTCAACACAAGAGCTGGCACCAGCCAATTTTCTCTGCTTCCTGGAAATGTTATTCATGATGCAGGATGCTCTTCTCTGTACTGCAGAGAGAAAATAGATATTGGAAAGCTTTTTCAGGCTTAAATAGCTTCCATGTCTGTCCTACGAAGCTCTTTTCAGAAACCAGTCCAAAACTGTAATAAAAGCAACAGTTCAAAAAGAGAGATCGGTCCTTACCTGCACACTTGTGAGGGTCGTGTACTGGTAGGCTTTTACAATCATGTAATTGGCTTCAACATCAGCCAGTCCCAAAAAAAAATACTTCCACCACCGCTGTTTCAAAATTTGCCAAAGACTGTCACTGCCTGTTTAAAAGAAAGCAGTGATCAATATGTGTTTTTCTCCAACCAAATGCTGCACAGGGTTCTTGCTTTTTGGAATCATAAATAATACTGAGATGCTTGATTTTGGTTGCACCTACTTGAGAAAAGTACAATAACTGCCAAATGCAGCCTAGGAGGAGACAATGCACATGGTGAAATGCATAGAAATTCTTCCACATGAGGAAAAAACTCACAAGACTGGAGTTGTTTAAAGAGTAAATTAATAAGAATAGGAGGAATATTAAATAGCTTCTGGTAAAGAAGCTTGCTATAACAAAAGTGATTTTCCCTAATATAACATAGTACTTGAAACCAAAGAGCACATAGTTTTAAATAGATATGAAATGAAATCAAATTAAATGCACATTTAATCTGTGAAATTAATTTCCATGTGTTATTGCGAGGCAGGAATTTCAGCAGGAACTTAAAAAAACTAGGACAAGTATTAAGTTCTTTAGTTTCAAAATCTGAAAGGAAAATGTAGAAGAGGAAAAAAAAAGATGAACCAGAATCTCCCATCCCATATTTCACATACCAGTCCTAAGTGCCAGCATTGGTGTATAAACTAGGAGCAGCAAAGAATAGTTGATAAAACTTTGAAACATTGGAGTATTCACTTGGTATTTTTCTGCTAGATACTGGCTTGTAACAGCAGTCCCACAGATAAACAAGGAGAGCATCTGGCCCAGAATTATTGTTTTCAAAATATGCCTGTGAATATAAAAGACAACACAGTAAGCTTAGAATTAAACATTCAAGTTTTTTTAAAAAATGTTTGTTAGTTGTACAGGGAAAATGCCATTTTTTATATTGATGCTCTACTCCTTTTCTACTCCCTCTCAATGTTGTTCTGATTTACCAGTGAGCAGGGCTTTGTCTACACAGAACATCTAGTCTAACCTCGTGACAGCCATATAAGAAGTGAGGCCAGTTCAAACCACCAGTGACGGAGAAAGACCGCAATAATCTGAAAGAATCTTCAAGCAGCTCAAGAGAGGTTTGGACACCCACGGCCGGAGTTAAATCCTTCATCATCCACTGAATGCTGTCCCGACTTTGATCAATAGAAATCTGCAATATGGAGATAAGGCACAACTGCCCTCAGGCTCTTCCAAGACCCAAGTCTTTGAAAGTGAGCTGAGACCCTAAGCCGAGCTAAGGAAATACAAAAGCATTAACCACAAAATCATAGAACAGCCCCAGTTGAAAGAGCCTCAAAATACCACTGGGTCCAACCTTTCATGGGAAAAGGTGTCTAGAAGAGATTATCTAGCACCCTGCCCAGTCACATCTGGGAAACATCTAGCATCTCTCTGGGGACTCCGTGATACTTTGCGGGAGGTTGTTCCAGTGACTGATTGTTCTCACTGTAAAAATAATCTTTCTTATAATAAGAATTTTTATAATTAATACTTTTTTTAAAATTTTTTTCTGCTATATTCTATCACACCCTGCTCTAATTGAGGATGGAGTTAAGAGCACATTTTGGCCAAGGATCATGTTTGTGTTTACAACTCCTTTTAAGTCCAACCCACAGCTAGCGGGGGGGCAAGGGAAGAACTCATGCTCTTTTAGCAGCAATTCATCACTTTGTATTAAGTGAACTATTCCAGGTGTTCCTAGACAAGCAGGAGTTCGCATAGATCACTGTGTACCTTTCAGCTTGCTGGCTTTCCTGCCAATGGAGCTGCACAGATTTGTACCACTCCAGTCTCCTCCTGCCCACTCCATATTCACTGAGAGAGGCTCATCTCTGCACAGGGCTGCAAAGTTCACCTCTGATTCATTTACTCTGAAGACTACTGATGAGAATTTAACTGTCTGCATGACTGATTCATCTGTTCCAACTCAAAGTAACCGAGCAAGGGAGGAAAGCATCCCAATATGATTCTGCACCTCCCCTGTGTCCACATCTCTCCCTGATGATTTCTGGCAGGGCACCCACGTTCCAGGCACACCACCTGACTGCAACACCTCTTGTTTTCTCAAGGTGGGTGACTTCCACATAGTAAACACCAGCTCACCCAGCTATGCTGTGCAATCCAGCTGCTGGGCAATGGGAAAGGTGTGTTCGGGGGTGCTAAAGCCAGCTACAATCACGCAGGCAATCCCTCCTTTTGGAAAGGAGACATCTTCTTTGCACGGGTTCTAATTCAGCCTGACACCAAAGCTCTTCTGACTTTAAAAACCCTGCTAGGCACATTTTTCTCTCCAAGTCCATTTTGATGAGACAGCAGATCTCTGCAAGGCCCAGCCATGCTGCACTTCCAAGAGATTCAAACCCCACGCTTTGCACGTCCCAGCCACAGTGTGAGTATTCAACTACCATGTGACAGTCTTGTAAGATAGCTCTTAGAAGTTATAACTCCTTCTGGTGTGTGAAAGAATGAACACTCTTATTTCTAGCATTTTGAATGTTGAAGCAACAGAGACTATGTTTCAGCTAGAAATTTATCATGGCTACTTTGTAGCACAGTGTTAACTGTAAACAGTACTATAAAATATATATATACGTATTTCATATCATGTATGTATATCTATGTGTATTTTATATATATCTATGTATTTGGATTTAAAAAAAAAAAGTAGGAAAAAACCCACCTTTGAAGCTACCTCACTTCTGCTATATGGATTTTTTTTTATTCTGGTGAAAGATCTGATTGCAGGATTTGGTGAACAAATCAGCAATGATAATGACACATTCTGGCTAATCATTCTGACTGATGCAGAAATGCCTTTTTAAGTTCATCTAAACAATGAATTTAACTAGGTGCCATTAAGAAGAATGTAACATAGGTTAGCTTAAATTTCTGGAATGAGACTACCTCTTCTTTCAAGCAGAGACAGACGATGGTTCCAGCTCGCCCTTTGCCAGCCCTGTGACCTCTGGCTGCTTTGCAGGATGCAAGATGGCAAAAGACAGGGCGGGGTAGGAGGCCAGCCTGGCTAAACAGGGATCTCTTGCTGGATCTCAAAAACAAAAAGAGAGTCTACAACCTTTAAAAGAGGGGGCAAGCCTCTCATGAAGACTATAAATATGCAGCAAAGCTATGTAGGGAGCAAATAAGGAGAGCCAAAGTGCAGCTAGAGCTCAATCTAGCTGCAGCTGTTAAGGATAATAAAAAATGTTTCTATAAATTCATTAACAACAAACGGAGGATTAGGGAAAATCTCCCTCCTTTATTGGATGCAGAGGGAAACTTAGTCACAAAGGCTGAGGAAAAGGCTGAGGTGCTCAACGCCTACTTCGCATCGGTCTTTAGCAGTGGAACTAGCTGTTCCCTGGACACCCAGCCTCATAAGTTAGGAGACAGGGAGGGGAAGCAGAATGAGAGCATCACTATCAAAGAGGAAGAAATGAGTGACCTGCTAAGCCGCTTGGATTCACACAAGTCTATGGGACCGGATGGGCTACACCCAAGAGTGCTGAAAGAGTTGGCAGATGTGCTCGCCAAACCGCTTTCCATCATTTACAGGAAGTCATGGCTGACTGGGGAGGTCCCAATGGACTGGAGGGTGGCAAATGTAACACCCATCTACAAGAAAGGCAAAAAGGAGGATCCCAGGAAACTATAGACCTGTCAGTCTAATCTCGATACCAGGGAAGGTCATGGAGCAGGTCATCTTAAATGCCATCAAAACCCACATGATGGGCAACCAGGGGATCAGGCCTAGTCAGCATGGGTTTATGAAAGGCAGGTCCTGCCAGACAAACCTGATCTCCTTCTATGACAAGATAACCAGATTATTGGATGAGGGAAAGGCTGTTGATATTGTATACCTGGATTTTTGAAAAGCATTCGATACTGCCCCCCCTACAAATCTGGTGGAAAAACTGGCTTCACACGGCCTGGACGAGCCTATGATCCGCTGGATCAAGCACTGGCTGACTGGAAGGTCCCAAAGAGTGGTGCTCAATGGATTTAAATCCAGCTGGCGGCCGGTCACAAGTGGTGTGCCTCAGGGCTCAGTGTTAGGACCATTTCTATTTAACGTCTTTATTGACAATCTCAGTAAGGACATAGGGTGTATCATCAGCAAGTTCACAGATGACACCAAGTTAAGCAGGGGTGTTGATTCCCAGGAGGATAGGGAAGCCCTACAGAGAGACCTAGAGAGATTGGATTATTGGGCCAATATCAATGGCATGAGTTTCAACAAGGGCAAGTGCCAGGTCCTGCACTTGGGCCACAACAACCCCATGCAGCGCTACAGGCTGGGGGAAGTGTGGCTGGAAAGCTGCCTGGAGGAAAGAGACCTGGGGGTTCTAATTGACAAGCGGCTGAATATGAGCCGGCAGTGTGCCCAGGTGGCCAAGAAAGCCAATGGCATTCTGGCTTGTATCAAAAATAGTGTGACCAGCAGAAGTAGGGAGGTGATTGTGCCCCTGTACTCGGCACTGGTGAGGCCACACCTGGAGTGTTGTGTCCAGTTCTGGGCACCTCAATACAAGAGAGATATTGAGGTGCTGGAGCAGTACAGAGGAGGGCAACGAAGCTGGTGAAGGGCCTGAAAAACAAACCATATGAGGAGCGGTTGAAGGAGCTGGGACTGTTTAGTATGAGGAAGAGGAGGCTGAGGGGAGACCTCATCACTCTCTACAACTACTTGAAAGGACACTGTAGAGAAGTTGGTGCTGGTCTCTTCTCACAGGTAATTAACGACAGAACAAGAGGGAACGGCTTCAAGCTCCAACAGGGTAGGTTTAGACTGAACATTAGGAAGGAATTTTACAGAGAGAGTGGTCGAGCATTGGAATAGGCTGCCCAGGGAGGTGGCTGGGTCACCATCCCTGGATGTGTTTAAGGGACGTTTAGATGGGGTACTGAGGGATATGGTGTAGGGGAGGACTTTGTAGAGTAGGGTAGATGGCTGGACTTGATGATCCCAAGGGTCTCTTCCAACCTGAATGATTCTATGATTCTATGACTCATTGAAATTTCAAGGAAGAAATAATGCGGTGAATGGCACATAAAAAAAAATACATGGTTTCAAGCATCCAAAAAGTACATATATACATTTTATTACTCAAATAAATAGTTTCTTGCTCCAAACTTGCAGAATATATTTCTCCTTTACCCTCAGTGCAGGAGGCACAGAGCTTCTGGTGAACTCACCCTGCGCTTGGACTAGCTGGGACAAGGGTGTGGAGGTGGGACTCAAACCTCTGCAGACTGGGCAGAACCACTGCAATTTATCTGGAGCAAAGCTGTGAAGCCTGTGTACTCCACAAAACGGATTGTGCTCGTCAATACATTACCAGGAGAGGTTAAAGCTGCCTTGGCTGGCAGAAGTCCTGCTCTCCTGGATGGTAACTGCCCTCCACCCATCTCCTATGTGGCACCACAGAGATGGACAGAAGCATAGGCAATACTACTCCACAAGCATCCAGCTGGTTTAACACAGACTTCTGTGGGGTGAGATTTAAACATTTTCCCCCCAGGGTGTGACATGCAAGGGGTAGCTTTGCTGCTTCTGAACTGCAGCACCCTCTCTATGGCACAGTCCTGGGCTCTACTGCATCAGCAAACTGAGAAGTGACCATCTTCCAACAGAAGGGTGAAAGGGGGAATATCTGTTGCCATTCAAATTTGCTAATGATCGATCAGCTTCAACCACCACTTATTAAAAACAAGAAGGACCCGATTGCTCTCTTGCAGTAGAATAACTCCACTGAGCTGATCCTCAGCTTTACTAAGTTTCTCCAGTTTAAAGCATCTAGGGAATTATCTCCTTGCATTTTTGCATATGGGAAGAGACAGAAGTCCACAATCTAAAGAACTGTTTGCTTAGTGGTTTCTGCACCAGCAATCACAGCTATGTAGTTAATGTATATCTCAGCAGTCCTACAGCATTTACTTCTACAGAACTGAAGGTATCTGGCAAGGCAGGCAGGCTTCCTTTCTCTCACTTTATCTCTCTTTTTATCTCACTTTTTCTCTCTTCTTTATTTTTCTGTATTTTAATTCAGGGTTTGTTTTTTTTTTTTCTTTCTTTCTACTGAAGAGATTAAAAATGTTAAGATCAAAAGAACCAAAAAAGACACTATTCACCCACAGTGGAAAGCTGCCCTCAAAAATGTCCTTTGTGAATCCCCAAACACAATGTTTCTGGCAACTTTCTCGGCTGTGTACAAAATAACAGCCTCTTGCCATGACAACCCCCAGCCCCAGGTGCAGCCTCAGCAGGACACACCAATGGTTTCCCCTCACACCATTTGCCAAGGTGTCAAAGTGAATTTCTTCAAATTGCGGAGGTGACACCGTGTTCCCAGCACGACGCACTGGGCTCAAGGCAGAAAGACAGCGCTTGGAACAGGGTAAGATGACTCTCATTAAATGTGGGCTCCGGAGCCCTGGTATTTCAGTGCCCAGTAAATTCCCATTGCAAACTAAAAAAACTCTTTTACCCTCCGTCAAACTTGAGAGCAAACTTTAAATCCTATTGGTTTCATTTTGCAAGACAGTTTCTTATAAGAAAAATGCTTAGAAGACATCAGTTTCCATTCATTCCGGTATTGACATGAGTATCGATGAACGTTATTTTCTTATTAATAATTTATCATCATTTCTTGAATTATATTAATTATTAACTTTTCTGTGCCAGAACTTAATCCTCTCTGCTCTTTTTTTTTTTTAATGCATTGGTAAGGGCTAAATCACTTTGGACTCTTGGATGACGCAAGGTAAGTGGTCTGAAATGGCCTTTTAGTTTTATAGTTTGGGTGGGTTTTTTGTTGTTGTTCTTTACTGCTTGGTAGTTGGCTACTAAGTAATTACTCCTTCTCTCCCTTCAGCCACCATATCTTAGCTAGCTATATCCATGGCTATGAGCAAAACTAGGAGTCATTTGGGGATGTTTTTCAACATGAAAGTTTGCTGCAAACTGGTCTAAAGCTAATGCCGAACAATGCACAGCTCTAGATGGAAATGCAGAAGAAAAATAGCCCAAGATATTAAAATACAATGAGAGACTATATCTGAGGATGTCAAAGAAAATCTAGCAAGTCCACAGTTAACAATTTTATTGGCTATTATTCTAATAAATCCTATATTTTGTTATTCTTTCATGAAAATAAATAAAACTTTTCAAATACTAAATTTATTTATGCCACCAGTTAAACACTAACAGGCAAAACCTGACAACACTCTTCAGACAGACAGTTTATTTGCACTTGAGCTTTAACTACTGAACCCTTCCTGAGTGGAGGGGGAGGAGCAGGAGGGAAGGGACCATTTCATTTGAATAATCTTATATTTTGACCCAACTGGTTAAAGGAAAATGCATGTTCAGACCAAAACAATATTCCAACGTGACTAGCAGATAGCTCAGAACAGGAAAATATTATTTTTATGAACTAACATTTTCAGAAATTAGTGTTTCAATGTTCTGCTTTGAAACTAAGGTCAAATTAGTTTGTTAAAGGTAAAAAACAGAAAAAAAACTCATTTTGTGTCAAAACCCACGAAGCATACTTTCTACTGATTTTACTCAAAAAAAAAAAAAAAACCCTAGTTTATTACATGCAAGTGTTAAACCTCCCTATGACTCAGAAAGGCCTCTGAGAAAGCTGAAGAGGCTGAGCCTTCAGGCCCCTGGGAGAAAAAAAAAAAGAAAGAAAAAAAAAAAATCAATTCAGAATCTCAGACAAGACTTTGTAAAAGTCAGTGAGAGCTCTTTATTTTCTTTCAAGTTCCATCAATAGACTCACTTAGTGTAACCCTCTGGCAACAATTTGGTAAAATTACTAGCACAGGTGAGGTTACTGAGCAGCTCAACAAGGTTCTATATTGTCCTTTGGGTATTCCTGACAGGCAGGAGAAATGAAAAGAGAAAAACATAGAACTAAAAAAGAAAGGCAGGTTTTGGGCTCTGGAATAGGTCTGTGCTTGGCCAGCACACACACCTCCACACAGCCCAGTTGAGACTCCAGCTCATGAACGTCTGGGCTGGCAGGAGAGCCAGCACCTCCGATTTGTCAGCCAAGGGTATCTGATACAATAGTTACTCCAGACCAAATCTAGAGCCCAAAAAACCAGGCCTTTTAAACAGGGATTTACTCTTTCCCCAGATGGAAACTGAAGCTGTAAGCGGTTTGATCTTGCAGGCTGGAAGTCTGCTGCCACTCAGGGCAGCTTTGGGACACGTGTGATACCTGCACAACTTGGCAGATGTTCATCAGGTTTTCCATGTTTAAGCAGTGCTCACATTTTAAGTGACACATGTGAACAGGCTCTGTCCTAAGCTGATTCAGGGAAGGAGGGAAAGGGGATATTGCTCTTCCTGGACTGCATACCTTATCTCAGCTATTTCATTCTATTATCTTCTCTGCCCCCCACGACCTGTTCTTCACAGCAGTGTTGATAAAAGAGTACAGAACAGATCAAACTACAGAGAAATAAAAAATAGACAAAATAGGAAAACAAAAAAGATATTAAGTCCGAATTACTAAAAAAAATCGAGTGCATGTGCACATATCATAGAATGGTTTGGATTGGAAGGGACCTTAGAGATCATCAAGTTCCAACCCCCCTGCCATGGGCAGGGACACCTCCCACTAGACCAGGTTGCTCAAAGCCCCAGCCAGCCAGCCCCTCCAGGGATGGGGCATCCACAGCTTCTCTGGGCAACCTGTTCCAGTGTCCCACCACCCTCACAGTATCTAATCTAAACCTCCCTCTTTCAGTCCGAGCCCATTCTCCCTCCTCCTGTCACTACACTCCCCGGTAAAGGCTCCCTCCCCATCTTTGCTCTAGGCCCACCTGAGGCACTGGAGGGATGCTATGAGGTTTCCCCTGAGCCTTCTCTTCTCCAGACTAGTTACATCCTCAGTTTAACAAAACCAAAGACATCCCTGCCTGGTTCTACGCTGCGTTCTGCCGAAGCGACTCTGGGCGCTCCCGCCCGGCGGCAGTCCCAGGCTGCAGCTCCCGCAGCGGCCCCGGTGTCAGAACATCCTCTCCAGGCAGCCCCTCCACCGGCAAAAGCCGAACCCCTCCCGGTCGCCGGTCTCACCTCTGCCTGGGCCCGGATTGTCTCCCCCCTTCCCTCCTTCCCTCCCGGGCCCCGGCGTGCGGGGAGGCCGGCGCCGCCCGTCTCCACGTGGAGGCCGGGGGATGGGGCGGCCGGGACTCACCAGGTGCAGAGCTTGGCCCCGAGCAGCGCCAGCAGCCGGCGACGAGGGACAGGGGCGGCGGTGGCGGCGGCCCCGTACGGCTCCTCGGCGGCCCCGGGGTGGGCGGCAGCAGCAGCGGGCGGCGGGTCCCCGGCCGCCTCCATGCCGCCGCGCTGCCCCGGCCCTGCGCCCGCCGAGAGGGAGGGCGGGAGGGAGGGAGGAGCAGCGGCACGGCGGAACGGAGCTCGGCGGCGGCCGAGCGCGGCTTTGTGCCCGCCGAGGGGCCGCCCCCGGGAGGGGCATGGCTCCGCTCGGGGCGGGGGGACGGAGCTCCGCTGCCCGCCCCGGGGTGCTCCGCGGGTTCCTGCCCCGGCCCCGCTCCGTAGGTGTCCTTCCCCCCGCGGGGCGGAGGAGCAGCACCCCCGGTGAGAAGTTCCCTGACCCGCTCTCCGCAGCCCGCGGGGCTCCCGGCAGCAGCCCCAGCCTGGCGGCCCGGTGCCGGCAAGGCCACTTCGTCCCCCCTGGCCGCAGCTGGCCTGGTACGCAGGCAGGTTGAGTCTCGTCTTTCTTCCAGTTACATGAGTCAAAGTTACTCTAAACCCTTAATTTTTAACTTCTCCCAGCTCTGTGTGCAGCACTGAGCTCCTCTGTCTCTGAGGCTTCGCCTCCCACCTCTCTGCTGACGACTCCCAGGATTTAGCTTGTCCTGCTTTTCTTCACCCACATCTCAGTCAACCTCACCTGGAGAACCTGGTGGCACTTCGCATACGCTCATGTTTTTTTTTTAATGACTATCACTTTTAATGATGTGTCACGGGTGATGGAATCAAACCCCAGAGGTGCCTCCAGCAAGAGCAACCTCCTGTCCTCCTTGGTGCAGGTGTCTGTCCTGTCCTGGCAGTGCCAGCATCCTCTCTGCCACAGCACACTGCTTCTCTCTGCCCTCACCTGCTCCCCACGCAGCACCAGGGTTTGATCTTTCTCCCCTCAACACCACAATGGGGTTTTTTTCAGACATGTTTTTCCCCATCGCAGTTGCCTCATTTGAGCTGTGTTTATCTCCCTTCGCAATTACCCAAATTCACCCTTGCAGGATTTGGTGTAGGAGTGTAAAAGAGGCACCACCCTGTCATTTTCAGGTCATCTTTATAACCTCATGTGCCTGCCAGTCCCTTTTCAGCAGAAAGGTGGATTTTAGTCTCCCGCTTCCCAAGGGCCAGGCCCTAACCACTAAGATACTGGCTACCTGGGAGAGGACTGGTCCTCAAATCCCCTCTTTGACCCTGTGATCATGTAATATTAAAGCTATAGGTCAATATGAAAGAAAAGCTGTAAAACTATATGTCTTAAAACAGCATTCATAAATATACTTCTATATTTATATATATACACACCTATTTCTATCTTATATTGAGATTTTATGTATTTTTTCCTTTACTTATATGACAAGAATAGTTTATGGAATTTTTTATTTTGAATTCCTAATCCAGTAAAAATCCTGCTGTGACTCCCACTGGAAATCAGTCTGTCAAGATTAGATTCAGTGTTGTGATAGTCAGGTCATGCTGGTCGCAAACTTCCATAACCTAGAATAAAAACAAGATTAAAAAGAAAAGGAGCAGAACTATCAAACCCTATGCACTTCATCATATCTGTGCTCCACAACTCTGGTACTACCATCTTCACCTTTAATTTTATTTATCCTATGCCTGCGATCTGCTGCCGATTCTCCAAAGATGGAGAACTGTGTCTTTGGTGGGTTTTGTCTCCATTTCAGCTCAGCTCTCGGAATTCCTTGCTCCGGGTAGGCTGCAGCAGCCTCACCCCAGGAAGCCTCTGCCAGGCTGGGGCTTTACACCGGAGCTGCTCAGCTGCAGGAGGATTGCAGTCCCAGAGGGGTGTCCGTGGGCTGCAAAAATAAGAAACAGAGTAATAAGAGTTTAAACAGGTAATTTAAACATTTCTTAAAAAAAAATAATAAATAATTCAAAGGTTACAAAAAAAAAACCCAACAGCAATAATTTTTTAAAGTGCCCTTTGTTAGATTTTGGGGGCTAAGTTCATTTCAGAGTATGATAAACTTTGCTATCTTAGCAAATTTTTATGGCTTGTGTACAACAAGGCCATGAATGCAGAGATATCCAAGAGGTCTAAACACGACTTTGTATTCAGCTACTTCTGCTCCAGGCTCCTGCTTCTTCTACAGTTTGGGATTCACCCCCAGCGTGCCCATGGTGTGGGTCTGTGGGTCTGTGAGTCTCACGGGCGGAAACTGGGCAGCATGTCCATCCTCCTCCAGGCAGGAAAACTCTGTTCCCAGTGCTCTACAAAAGTAACCAATTTCACTGGTTACTGTATCTGTTTAACTTACAAAATCGTTGACAACGAACTATTAGCAATACATCCATAAAATTCTTTTAAAATTAATTCTTTGTATTCAAAATTTGTATCTAAATTTCAAACTATGTCGAAGTGTGATTGAAAGGAACTAAGAATCTAAATATTTCTTATAGTTGTTTACCTTCTAGAATGATTGAATCATAGAATCATAGAATGGTTTGGGTTGGAAGGGACCTTAAAGATCATCGAGTTCCAAGTCCCCTGCCAAGGGCAGGGACACCTCCCACTAGACCACGTTGCTCAAAGCCCCATCCAGCCTGGCCTTGAAGGATAACACAAAAGTAACAGAATAGCACTTTTTTGCTTTTTTTTTTTTAAAAAAAGTCTTTTTAACTGAAAACAAATAAAAGAATTAAGCACAGCCATAACAAACAAGATACAAACATAGCTCTCGTATCTTCATCTGCTTTCACCTAGTTTTTGTTAATCGGTTTGATTTCAGTGCTTGCTATCAGGCTGTTCTCCTGCTCAGAAAATCATAAGCTTAAGTAGACGATAAAAGTAGATAACAATGGTGACAAGGAAAAACGCAGAACATAATTTTTAAGTTGACAGCATCTGCTTTAAGTTTCAGGCAACTTAAAGTGCAGTCCCATTGTACGCCCCACGAAAACTTAACTTGAAATCTGAAATTGCAAAGTGATTCATTGAAAAATAATGAGCAGGCACAACTTTTGGATTTTTTTAATTTGAAGTATTTATGCCACTAGAGGTCCTTCATTGTCGATTATGATTTTCTCCACAGTGTTGAGGGGGTCTTTTTTCTTACTTCTTTGTCCATACTACATGCAAGAATGACAGTCTCTAAAGAAATTTGTTTTGTTTAATGTAATACATTCTTATAATAATAGAGTGATTTTTCCTTGATTAACCTTTTTCTGGGAAAACATCAATATAAATTTTTTTCAAATAGAATTTCTTAAATAAAAGCTCCTGCTTTACTTTTAAAACCTATTTTTTTTTAATTCAACAATTGCACATTTAACATTTCTAATTTTTCATCATCCTACAATTCTCTCCAACATAACCGCTTTTCTCTTCGAAAAATAGAGAAGGAAGCAGAGGTCAAATTAAAGACAAAACTGGGACAAACAACTGAAACAATAAAACAATATGTACAGTAGTTTTTCTCTGCTGCTTCATTATTTTCTTCTTATTTTTCCTAGTTAAAAGCCGATTAAGAATGTTTGAAAACTATTTGGAAGAACTGTGCAGCCTTGGGAACCTGAATGATAGGACTGAGATTAAATTTACCACTACAGAACACAATGTCATTTATCAGGAAACTAGCAACAAAGATTTGTAGCATAAGCTCATCGTTTGGGACTGATTAGGAACTAAGGCAGAGAAATACTTGCTGTTCCCAGGATGGCCATGAGCTGAAAAGGCAAAATAGCTGCTCAAAGGGCAAATGCAATCCTTAGGATGCATCAGCTGGAATCAAGACAGAGATGTGTTAGACCATACAAAGTGCTGGGGGGAATTCTTCTGAAATGTGGTGGTTACTCCTGCTCAAGAGAAATATGCTGAGAGGTGCAGAAAGATCTATAGGAGACCATGGGAGCTTGGCTTGTTAGTCCAGCAAAGGACAGAGATGAGATAGGACCACTGTCAAAAATGCAGAGCACAAAACCTAGAAAAAGAAAGAAACTTCTTTAAAATAAAAGACAATGTTAGCACAAGAACAAACATGCATATATGAAATATTATTAGATTTAGGCTAAAAATGAGAAGACGGTTCCTTACCAATATTTGCAATACAGCTGTCCTTATTAGGACCATCAGATTTTCCAGAGGAGTAGCAGAAACAAGAAGATAACTAGCTGGCAACAGGGCATTAGCCATGATTAATGGTCAAGAGATTCCTTCCCATTCTGTATCTGTAGAAAAAAAAGGATTTGCAGACAAACAAAATTACAATTTTAAAATTTCAGAATTCTGAAACTCTAAAATCAACCATAAAAAGATTAATCTGAGAAAAATCATAGTAAGCTGCTCAATGCAAAACCATACTTTACGGTTACACTGACATACCTTCGGGTGCAGTGGTGGGTCTGCTGTCTACCAAGAGGGAAATATGAAGCAGAATGTGCTTCTACATCCCCCCCCCCCAAAAAAAAGGTATAAAGTATTAACTACAAAAAAGCACCTACATGAGGAAGGATGTGAATGTCAATATATGGAGACTTTTATTTAAGATAAAAGATCAAGAAGGGAATTTAGGTACTTGATTGTTGTTGAAAATCACTAGAGCTTAGAAATGAGGGGGGTGATTAACACGAGGTCATACAAGTTTTTTATGCATCACTAATTCTGGTCTCACACACCATCCTCCTTTCCCATTCATCTGAGATGTGATTCTCTGCTTGGAACTGTACCCAGGCGAAAAAACCCAGGGGTTTTGGCAAACATAGTGCCCCTGAGGCCTACGTAAACTGAGGTGGGTGCTAATTTCAGTAATAACTAGTAAAATTTCAAAGGACACTGGTTTTGCAGCCAGTTCAAACACAGCTCCCTCAAACCTTTAGTCTTCCAGCACTGGACACCAGTGCAGATATTGAAAGAGCCCATGGTAAAACTGGAAATTACAGCTTCAAACCATGAGCTGTGTCTCAGAAAAATAGACATAATAAAGCTCAAGGACCATCAAAATTTACATCTAGTTAGCACATGTTGATAGCATGATTATTTTTTTTTTTCCAAAGACTCGTCCCTGAAATGAAGGAAATTGCTCTTAAATCCTCAGAGTTCTTTCTCTCAAGAGGATCATAT